GCGCCGAGTAGCAAAAAGAGGCCTGGTCATTAAGGGGGGTAAATCCTCAGGAGGGCAAGTGGTTAATAACCAGATTACAGCATGAGACTGGGATCAGGTTGTTTAAGCTGATTTTTATTAACATCGGCTCTGTGTCTGGGGAAGGGGGGGGGGGGGTTAAAGTGGTCAATGTTGGTTTGGACACACAGACCCCAAATCTGTATCCTGGTCCTCCAGGTCTCAGAGTTTGTGTGTTTTGGGGAAACATTGACTTGAATCCAGAGTAAAACTACTCCAAAAGGTCCCCCAGGCACACACCTCCCAAATATTAGAGCCCCCTCAGATGTCAAGGCCCATGGTCTGTAGGCAAGAGGCTAGCCTGCAGTCCTCTCCAAAAGCCCCTGTCCTGGTTGGGTCTGTCACATAAGGTTTTTTTTTTTAACCTTAATGTATTCTCTGCATTAACCTCTTGCTGCCAGAGGTACACATATATGCAGGTGGGCTTTAACACCACAAGGCTGTATATATGCAGCTTTATGTAAACACTTTTCTGTGCTGAGAGCATGTGCCCTACGCACACTCCCCAGCACAGTTACCAGCGGGGACTGGAAAGCTCCCAATCAAAACTTGCAATCAGGAGCTTTCTGCTCATGTGATCCCTACGGTCTCATGACCCAAATGCCCGCCTCTGCCTCCCGCCATTTAGAAGCTCTTAAAGGGCTGGAGGCGTGGCGGAATGTGGTTGAGATAAAAGACCTTCTGTATGCAGTTCCCCCATCTGCCCCCCCTTTACTTACGTGAGCCTGATCTTAATCCAGCACTTTGCCTGAGAGCAGCGTCTCTCTCCGCTCTCTCCCCCCTCACTGGAGATTGGGGCAGCACTGGGAGTCATTGGCTCTTGCTGCTGTCTATCACAGCCAGTGAGAGAGCAGGGAGCATGGCCGAGTCCAAGCAAGTGGCTTGCTTTGGGGGCACTTGGCAGAGGGGAACAGCCAGGAGTGCTAGCTGGAGACCTCAGAAAAGGAGGATCAGGGCTACTGTGTGCAAAACCACTGCACAGAGTAGGGAAAGTATGACATGTTTGTTATTTTAAAAAAAAAATCCTTTACAATCACTTTAAAACCTCCCGCCAGCCATATAAGGCAATGATGGGCGCAAGGTGGTTCTCTCGTTCTGGGAGGATGTCATATGACGTCCTACCATTCTAACTGATCGGCGGTGTGCTGTGTCCCTCGGACACAGCGGATCACCGATCAACGGAAAGGCCCAAAGATTTCGGCTCGGTCATGTGATCAGTTGTGTCCAATCACAGCTGATCTCATGTAAATAGGGAAATGCCGGTTATTGGCATTTCTCTCCTCACAAGCTGTCATGCTGATAGAGGAGAGGAGAGCCGGTAATCGGCATTCCTCGGAGGGGACATGTACACTGTCTTTAGGGCACTGATGATCAGTGTAGCCCCAGCAGTGCCACCTGTCAGTGTCCATCAATGCCAGCTGTCAGTGCCAATATCAGTACCACCATGCACATCAATGCCGCATACCAGTGCTCATCTGAGTTGGCTTTCAGTGCTGCCAATCAGTGCCACCTATCAGTGCCCGTCAGTGCTGCCTAACAGTGCAGTGCCACCTATTTGTGCCACATATCAGTGCCCATCAGTGATGCCTGTTAATGCCTATCAGTGCAGCCCATCACTGCAGCCTCATTAGCGCACATCAGTGAAGGAGAAAAAATCACTTATTTACAAAATTAAAAAAAAAAAACTAAAAAAAAAATTTTCAGTTTTTTTGGTTTGTTTAGCAAAAAATAAAAAACCCAGAGGTTATTAAATACCACCAAAAGAAAGCTCTATCTGTCTCAAAAAAATGATAAAAATGTCATATGGGTACAGTGCTGCATGATCGTGCAATTGTCATTCAAAGTGCTACAGCACTGAAAGCTGAAAATTTGCCTGGGCAGGAATGGGGTATAAGTGTCCGGTAGGCTAGCGGTTAAAGTAAATACTTAAGTGAGTGAATAAGTAACGCACTATTGTATTTCATAGTGAAAGATTTGTAAGCTAAAACCTGGGAGCAGGTCTCTTTGGCTCAGCAATCTCTCAGTGAAGCAAACTAGCTGCATGCTTTGTAAGGGAATTTTCCCTACTTTTAGTGAATCTGGTGAAAACGCATGAAAAGAATACCCAATCATGCGCAAGAAAAAAAAAAAGTATCTCTGCTTGCACATGTTGGGATGATGGAAGCAAAGCTTTACCTCATTTGCTAAACTAAGATAAAATTGCCTTGCAACTTCTTTAATAAAGTGGACAGTCTCTTTTCCTTTAGTAAACAAGCCCTATTCAGGGTGTAACATGTTGCAATTTGACAGGCCCCCGCTCCCCCCTATCCATGCTCTGACAGCTAGCGGGGATCTTCTCCTCCCACTAGCTGTCAAATTAAAAAAAAACGTGGCCGTGCAGAGCTCCGTCTCCTGGCCAGGTCACTCTTTCACAGCATTCTGAGAATGAGAGACTACAAGTCCCAACAGCCTTAACAACAGCTGGCTTGTAGTGAATGAACTGTGGAGCGCCGTGGTTGTAGTTCATTGATTCTTCCTGTCAGTATATCTTCCTGCTCGTACATCCCATACTGCAAACAGATATTCTGAAAGGTCTGCAGGAGACCTGCACGGTATTAGTGAACTACTGATTGCTGGTGCAGTGGTGCAGTGGTTCCAGTCTCCTGCAGACAAAAATAATAAATACTCATTTTTTTATCTGCAAAAAAAATGTGCATTTATTATTTTTGTTGAAAAGATGAACTTATCCTTTAATGCTGGCTTTCGGGAACAAATTATTTGAGTCTTGTTTCTTCTGACAGTGAATTCACTTCCCGCATGCGTGTGTTAAAGACTACCTTTACTTTTTACACCAAGTTACATGTCACACTCATATTTAGGTAACATGCTGCTTTACCATATGTAGAGGTCTGTGAATGAATGAGTCACAAGTAGGGAGGCAATGAAATTTCGGTGTCCAAAACGTTTTGGCTGAAAACAACCCCTTTCAGTCGTCGGCCGAAATAAAAAAAAAAAAAAAAAAAAAGCACCGATACAGGTGCCGCCACTGCCGCCGCCTGGGTAGTTCAGCCTTACTTGAGAAACCATCGATCCTGGCACTGAGCATAAAGGTGAGTGAGGGAAAGATGGCCACCACACATCTCTATGCCCTTGGAGGACTGGAGCGTTGTCACTTCCCGTTCCGGCCATTTTTATTTATTTTATTTTTAAAGCACTAGATCATTGCTTTTTTTTTCTATCCAATGCTTTACATTGCAGTGGAGAGATAAGGGGTCTTATTGACCCCATATCTCTCCATAAAGAGGACCTATCACTAATTATTCCTATCACAAGGGATGCATGCATTTCTTGTTATAAGAATAAAAGTGATTAAAATTTTTTTTTAAAGGAACAGTGCAAACCCCCCCCCCCCAAAATTAAATACATTTATTAAAAAAAGTTTAAAGTGCCCCCCCCCCCCCCCCCCCCATGCTCGCACATACACCCTATTCCAAATTATTATGCAAGTTCTATTTTGTTTTTCAGTTTTAACTCATGGATGGCATTGTGTGTCAGGGCTCTTTTGATCACTGAAAACAATCTCGGACACCTGTGATAATTAGATTGGCCGGTGAGCCTAATTTAAGGAAAAACTACTAAAGGAGGGTGTTCCACATTATTAAGCAGAGCACCATTTTCAAGCAATATGGGGAAGAAAAAGGATCTCTTTGCTGCTGAAAAGAGTGAAATAGTTCAATGCCTCGGACGAGATATGAAAACATTCAATATTTCACAAAAACTTAAGCGTGATCACTGCACTATTAAGAGATTTGTGGCTGATTCAGAGCACAGACGGGTTCGTGCAGATAAAGGCACATTGAGGAAGATTTCTGCCAGATCCATGCATCGGATCAAGAGAGCAGCTGTTAAAATACCATTACATAGCAGCAAACAGATATTTGAAGCTGTTGGTGCCTCTGGAGTCCCACGGACATCAAGGTGTAGAGTCCTCCAGAGTCTTGCAACTGTGCATAAACCTTCTATTCGGCCACCACTAACCAATGCTCACAAGCAGAAACGGCTGCATTGGGCAGAAAAATACATGAAGACTAATTTTCAAACAGTCCTGTTCACTGATGAGTGCCATGCAACCCTGGATGGTTCAGATGGATGGAGTAGTGGATGGTTGGTGGATGGCCACCCTGTTCTAACAAGGCTGTGACGTCAGCAAGGTGGTGGTGGAGTCATGTTTTGGGCCGGAATCATGGGAACAGAGCTGGTCAGCCCCTTTAGGGTCCCCGAAGGTGTAAAGATGACCTCTGCAAAGTATGTGGAGTTTATGACTGACCACTTTCTCCCCTGGTACAGAAGGAAGAACTATGCTTTCCGTAATAAAATCATCTTCATGCAAGACAATGCACCATCTCATTCTGCAAAGAATACCTCTGCATCAATGGCTGCTATGGGGATAAAAGGAGAGAAAGTCATGGTGTGGCCTCCATCCTCCCCTGACCTCAGTCCTATTAAGAACCTTTGGAGCATCCTCAAGCAAAAGATCTATGAGGGTGGGTGGAAGTTTACATCCAAACAGCAGCTCTGGGAGGCTATTCTGACATCTGGCAAACAAATTCAAACAGAAAATGTCCAAAAACTCACAAGTTCAATGGATGCAAGACTTCTGAAGCTGCTATCAAATAAGGGGTCCTATGTTACAATGTAACGTGACCTGTTAAAATGTTTAACTAGTAGCCGACCGCAGATAGCCGAATGACGGCTGCACTGCGGCCGGCCAGTTCTGGGTGGACGCCATATGACGTCCTCCCAGAACGCGCTCTCCTGCGCGCCCCAGGGGGCGCGCACCCGGCGATCTCCGTGATCGCTGTGTCCTATGGACACAGCTGATCACGTGATGTGGTAAAAGGCCAATCACAGCGGCCTTTTACCACGTGATCAGCGGTGTCCAATGACACGCTGATCAGAGGAAAATGCAAGTGCCGGTTCTCGGCTGCACTTTCCTCACGCTGTCAGATCGTGAGGAAAGTACTGCCGAGAACCGGCAGTTGTCAGAGCGGGGATCGGCACCGATCATCAGGGCACTGATGATCAGTGCCCTGATGATCGGTGCCCAGCAGTGCCACCCGCAAGCTCCGCCCACCTGTGCCCAGCAGTGCGCCCACTAGCTCCGCCCACCTGTGCCCAGCAGATCACCCAGCAGCATGCACCCACCTGTGCCCAGCAGTGCACCCACCTGTGCCACTCTGCAGTGTCACACACCTGTGCCCAGCAGTGCCACCCACCTGTGCCCACCCACCTGTGCCCACCCACCAGTGCCACCCACCAGTGCTGCCAGTCAGTGCCACCAGTCAGTGCCCAGGGGTTGTGCCAGTCAGTGCCGCCAGTCAGTGCCCAGCAGTGATGCCAGTCAGTGCCGTCTATCAGTACCCATCATCAGTGTCACCTATCAGTGCCGCCTATCCGTGACACCTCATTAGTGCTGTCTATCAGTGCCGCCTATCCGTGCCACCTCATTATTGCTGCCTATCAGTGCCCTTTAGTGCCGCGCTATCAGTGCCGCCTCATCAACGCACATCAGTGAAGGAGAAAAAATTACCTGTTTGAAAAATTTTATAATAGAAACAAAAAAACTTTTTTTTTTTTTAAATTTTTTGCACTTTTTGTATTTATAGCGCAAAAAGTAAAGCGCCCAGTGGCGATTAAATACCACCAAAAGAAAGCTCTATTTGTGAGAAAAAAATGATCAAAATTTCATATGGGTACAATGTTGCATGACCGCGCAATTGTCAATCAAAGTGCGGCAGCTCTGAAAGCTGAAAATTGGCCTGGTAAATAAGGGGGTATAAGTGCCTGGTAGGCAAGTGGTTAAAAAGTTAAAATGTTGTTAAAAGTTTGATTGAAATAGCTTTTGATTTCAGTAAATATGCTGCAAACACAACAAATGACAATTTTCAGTTCTTTACAACCTATAAAGTGTTTTGAAACTTACTGTGCGTAATAATTTGGAACATTGCATTGGACGTTTTTTATGTTTAAAAAAAAGCCTGTTATCATTAGGAGGTTTGTTCAATAAAATGTGAATTGTACTAATAGTTGATAACATGAGAATTATGCTGACTGTTATTTACATCAATTATTTAGGTAAATGAGAAAAATATTTGCATAATAATTTGGAACACGGTGTAGTGGTGAAACGCATACGTAGGCCATGCCCACATATGAAAATGGTCTTCAAACCACACACGTGAGGTATCGCCACGGAGCAAGAGCAATTATTCTCACACTAGACCTCCTCTGTAACTTTACACTACTAACCTGTAGAAAATTTTAAAGCATCACCCATTGAGATTTTTAAGTACCGCAGCTTTCACGCCATTCCATGAGCGTGCGCAATTTTAAAGCGTGACATGTTGGGTATCTATTTACTCGCCGTAACATCCTCTTTCATATTTTACAAAAAAATTGGGGTAGATATTGTTTTTTTAATCAAAGTGTATTTTTTCCAAAAAATATATATTCATTTTTAAAAACTGCATATTTCGGTTTTTGGCCAAGTGCACTTTGAATTTTTGCTTTTAGTTTCGGCACCAGAATTTTCATTTCGGTGCACCACTAGTCCTGGCTGCCACCACGGTAAGGGGACTGTTTAGTTTTCAAAAAAACATAATTATGGTGACTTTTAGTCCATTGACACTTCCTCCAGCTCAATAAGTGAGAGTCTGTACCTCGGAACTTACATAGAGCTGGAGGAAGAATCTGCAGAAGCCTGTGCATTGCACCAGCGATCCACTGATCATGACTGCAGTGCTTTGAGGCTTAATTTGCAATTTTGCTTCAAACAAGGAGGCATTTTAATTATTATTTTTTTTAGACCTGGCGTTTAAGGTTAGATTAGGTTCTTTTGTGATGCTTTTCCTTCCAAATACTGCTGGTAGTTTTGTGCTTTGTGCTACAGCTAAAATTGTATGCAAAAGCAATGGACATAGCGGTGGTCACTTTTGCTTTGTGTTCTGTTTTGATATGCATATTTATGGCTATTATAATGATGTAAATTTAAAAGCAGTCTTCCTCATTTAACATTCCCCAGTGCATTTTTCCAAAGCAAGCATTTAAATAATATTTGTGACTCCTCTGAAGTCTCTCATCATTGCTTATGCCCATGAAATGTGTTTGTATTGAGGTGGAATACATTTTCTGATGTTAGAATAAATTGTTGCAGAATGCAGACATAAATTGCTCTTTTATCTAACTAAAATGGTTTATTTCATTTATTAATATGCTTTATTGCTTGCGTACATATATTACACCTTGATGTAGAGTAATAAAGGAGGATGAGAATGTTTAGTGTGCAAAAACAATGCTTCTCTTTTTAATTTAATGAATGTTACATAAATGAATATTGTCAGTGATGTATTGTCCTTAAAGCATAACCAAACCCAAGAACAGAAATGAAGGCTATTGTAATTTACCGATCCTTAGATGTATTGGCTACATTAAGTACCTTTTTTATGCCTAAAAACATTTTTAGAAACTAATGTTGCACATAGACGATGTGATTTTCTTTCCTGCAACCTATGGTCAGTTCTGATGGGGAAATCCCTCTAGCAGAGCTATTGTGTTCTCCCTGTGGTGGTGGATATGTAGCGTCCCTGACAGGAGAACACGGTGGTTATTGCTGAACAATCCGACATGCTGGTTGTACCAAAGTCGTACAACAATCTAATTGGCTGTAATCGGCCTGTCCATTGATGGTTCGACTCTCGGCCAGTCCCTGCTGAACCGGCCAAGATTTGAACCATCTATGGCCACTTAATAATTACCTGGTGATCCTGCCAGACTATTGGCTATTTCCTATGCAAAGAACTGAGGCAAAAATAATCTTTCTTGTGTAAACTACTAATCATATCACTCACATATAATGAAGATGAACAAAAGTAGATGTGCTTTGAGTCCTGTTCAGGTGACAACCATGGCCTCTTCCATAGATACATACAAAGAATGGGTGTAACCAGGCAGGACAGGAAAGGTATTGATCACAGGATTTCTAAGGGAAATTAAAGTGCTTACAAAGCCTGAACATTTTTTACCTTCATGCATTCTTTGCATTAAAGTTGTTGTAAGTTACTTTTTTATGACAGGAAGATCATAGTCTTGAAATGGAATGCTGACCAGCCTCCTTTAAATAGCTGGAAAGCGCTAGTCAACTCTGTTATACCTTTGTACAAGCTAACGTATCTGTCTAGAGGCTGTCCAAAAAAATGTCCTAAAATTTGGGATATATGGCTGGAGTCATCCTCTACGATCGCTGGAGACCCCACATGATTAGATATATAGTATGGTAACTTAACTGGGGGTAGGTAAAAGGGACTACACAAACCACTGCTTTGCCCATGTAGCTACATTTACTTGTATTTAGGAATGTTTATCTTTATTGGATACCCATGGGACACTTCCCCTTAGTCCTGGATTGTGTTTGGTTTAGCAGAATTATTTTCATTCCCATGCCCCCTTCGATATGACTGTACTTGTGGTGTCCTGCTCGAGCTAACTCGATCTTATACTCTCTCCTGACTTTGCCTGCTATTAACACACTGATAAGAGATATTGAGTTGTTTTTTGTTGGTTTAAATTTTGCTCTGTTGTTTTACCTTGAGCTGGGGAATGCCCAGAGGCTCTGTTTTGTAACCCTCTTTTACAATATTAATAAAGAAAAGTTTAAAGAAAAACAAAGTGGTTTTAAAGTTTGAAGAATGTTTTCTTTCATGCATTCTATGCATGAAGGTAAAAAAAGTGTGCTACTACCCCCCCCTCCCCCCCACAGCCCTTCCTAATACTCACTTGAGCCCCCTCACAATCCAGCGATGTGCACGGGAGCCTCGTCTGTCCAGGGTCTCTCTTTCCTCATTGACTAAGGCACAGCAGCAGGAGCAGGTGACCATAACACAACCCTTCCCAAGGAAGAAGCACGTTTTGGAAAGTCTTATATAGGTATATATTAGGGATGCACCGAAATTTTGGTAGCTGAAAACACCCCTTTCGGCCTTCGGCCGATATGAAACAAAAAGCACCAATACAGGTGTCACCACCACCTGCCGCTCGGTAGTGGTGACCATAACACAAACCCCTTTACAGGTGACCATAACACAACCCTTCCCAAGGAAGAAGCATGTTTTGGAAAGTCTGTCAACCTTATATAGGTATATATTAGGGATGCACCGAAATTTCGTTAGCCGAAAACACCCCTTTCGGCCGATATGAAAAAAAAAAGCACCAATACAGGTGTCGCCACCACCTGCCGCTCGGTAGTTCTCAGCCTTACCTGACAAACCATTGAATGATCCCGTTGCTGGGCATAGAGATTAGTGAAGGAAAGATGGCCTCCACTCATCTCTGTGCCCTTGGAGGACTGGAGCGATGTCACTTCCTGTTCCAGCCATTTTTTAAAAATTTTTTTTTTAAAGCACTAGATCTATGCTTTTTTTGATCTAATGCTTTACATTGCAGAGGAGAGATGTGGGGTTTTATTGACCCCACATCTCTCCATAAAGAGGACCTGTCACTAATTATTTCTATCACAAGAGATGCATGCATTCCTTGTGATAAGTATAAAAGTGATTAAATTTTTTTTTAAAGGGACAGTGCAAAAAATAAAAAAATTTAAATAATTATAAAAAAGTTTAAAGTGCCCCCCATCCCCACATGCTCGCACGTAGTGGTGAACACATACGTAGGTCATGCCCACATATGTAAACGGTGTTCAAATCACACGTGAGATATTGCCAGGAACGTCAGAGCAAGAGCAATAATTCTAGCACTAGACCTCCTCTGTAACTTTACTATCCTGTAGAAAGTTTTAAAGCATCACCCATGGAGATTTTTAAGTATTGCAGTTTCATGCCATTCCACAAGCGTGCGCAATTTTAAAGCGTGACATGTTTGGTATTTATTTACTCGCTGTAGCATCTTCTTTCATATGTTACAAACTATTGGAGTATATATTGAGTTTTTTTTTTTAACCTCTTTGCGCTGGCCGCAATCAAATGTGCGGCCTCCCGGTGTCTGGGCCTTGACGCCGAGTGGCCGCACATTTGCGTGCAATTAAGAAAAACATATGTGCTGAGAGCGTGCGCCCTGTGCGCTCACAGCACACATGTCCGGTACTCATGGAAAGGTCCCGATCTCCTCTTTCGATTGGGACCTTTCCTGTTCATGCGACCGCTACGATGGCGAATCACGGTAATCACGTGCCCCTAAAAACCCCGCCCCGCCTCCCGGCTTCTAAAACCCTTAAAGGCCGGGAGGCGCCAAGGGGTTAATCAAAGTGTATTTTTCCCCCCCCAAAAAATATTCATTTTTGAAAAGCTGCGCGTTTCGGTTTTTGGCCAAGTGCATTTTGAATTTTCGTTACCAGCATT